GCCCGGGTGGGCAAGGTGGCGTATAGATTGGATCTACCAGCCGAGCTCAACCAGATCCACAACACTTTCCATGTTTCTCAGCTGCGGAAGTGCCTAGTGGACGATTCAGCGGTAGTGCCGTTAGAGGATATTCAGGTTGATGACAGCCTGAATTACATTGAGCGCCGAGTCGCAATCCTCGACAGGAAGTCGAAGGATTTGAGGAACAAGAGGGTGGAGCTAGTGAAGGTGCAATGGCAGCACCGCAGGGGTTCGGAATGGACTTGGGAGTCGGTGGATGAGATGATGGAGCACTACCCCGAGCTGTTTCAGGATCGAGCAGCAGACTTCAAGGACGAAGTCTAAAATAAGTGGGGGAGATTTGTAGCACCTGGTTCCTGGTATGTAAATCTTATTTGAGTATTTTCCATTTTTAGCCTTGGACTCGATGAGTCATAGATCCGACTCGCCGAGTAGAGACGGGACCCGGGACACGTTTAAGTTGGCGACTCGGCGAGTCCATATCCTGGACTCGGCGAGTCACCGCTGTTGGATGAAACCCTAAGTTTCAGGGGTTTGCACCCTATTTAAACATCATATCCGCCCCAGGCCAGCCCCCATTCACCCCCAGAGCTCCAAACCCTCATTCTAAGCTTGTTCCTTAAGAGTTTGAGGCTATTGTGTGTGTTCTTGAAGGTTTTGAGGCAAGAAGGGGAAGTAGATCAAGAGGAAGGAAAGGAATCCAGACATCTTTGCACTCTTTCAGCAGTTTCTTTGAGGTATAATCCGTTTTTCCCTGTTTCTATGCTTATTACTTCATGAAAGTCATTCTTGAGCCAATCCTCAAGTTTGTATATGCAAATTATCTCGTAATAGGGTGATTGGCCCTTAGATCTAGGCATGTTTGAGCTCCAGGAGCTCAGATCTGTTGCCTTTATGGACCCTCATTGCATGAAGACCCTAGATCTACCCTCTTGAGTACATTTTAAACCCTAAAACCCTCATGGGTGAATATCTACATGTAAAGTTGGAAACTTTACGTGTGATTCGTGATCTAGGAGTCCAGATTTTGTGAATGGCATGGAATGGAATCGAGCAAATCTGTGTATTTAGTAGGTGCATGGCAACGACTCGGCGAGTCGTTCATGGGACTCAGCGAGTCTGCTCGCGAGTCTCCGAGTTTGTCCCCTTTTCGTAGTGTCGAGTGTGCAGTGAGTCACGGGGTGTGACTCAGTGAGTTGGAAGCTGAACTCATCTATGGAGGAACTCGGGCGAGTCGATTCCCTGACTCGGCGAGTTCAAGGCAATCTCCTTAGATCAAGAACAGACTCGGCGAGCTGTTCATACAACTCGGTGAGTCTCCGCATAAGTGTTCATCGGATGAAGATGAACTCGACGAGTTGTATGAACAACTCGGCGAGTAGGATGAAGGACTTGAATGTCAGTTTAGAGGAACAACTCGTCGAGTCATAGCCTAACTCGACAAGTAGAAACGGGACTCAGGACAATCGTTTGGATAGGGACTCAGCGAGTTGGAGAGCCAACTCGGCGAGTCGGGTCAACTGAAAGTTGACTCTGACTTTGACTTAGGGCTTGCCCAGGGGTAAAATGGTCATTTTACCTAAAGGACAGTTAGCAGTGTTTGATTGAGTATGTTGTGGGAATTGCAGCCGGAGGATTTTCGGAGCAGCAGCAGCACCAATCAGTCAGTTCCGGATTAGTTCAGCAGCTACTTTGAGGTGAGTTACCTCCCAGTAGTGGTGGGTCTACGGCCACAATGCCGGCCCACTAGTAGGAGTCGTATGTTCGATGATTGTCTTGGTGATATCATCTTGGTTGCTACTACCTGATATGTTATATGCTAGCTTGATACGTTATATGTGATAGTAGTAGAGTTCGATTGTTAGGACCGAAGGGTAGTCAGACACCCCAGAAATGTCTGACAGTATGTGATGATATGTTTGTATGCTGGCCTGTTATGTGATGCGATAGAGGTAGTAGGAGGGGACCAGTCCCCGAGGACCGATTGTTAGGACCGATAGGTAGTCAGCACCCTAGAATGGCTTGACATGGGTAGTCAGCACCCCAGAATGGCTTGACACAGGTAGGACGGCACCCCAAAATGGCCGTATGGGTAGGTCGGCACCCCAGAATGGCCGTACCGGGTAGTCAGGTGCCCCAGAATAGCCTGGCAGTATGTAGGTTATGTGTTTGTATGGTATGTGGTATGATGGGGGAACTCACTAAGCTTTGTGCTTATGTACCAGGTAGTCAGGTACCTCTTCTTCGAAGGGGAAGGAGCTGGCACAGTAGCGGCACATCATGCACACACTCTGGTTTCCGCATTTACGAGATTCACTGGGATTTATAGTCTGATATTTTGATGGGTTGTATGGTTTGGCTTCTAGACATGGTTTACGTTGTGTTATGGTTTGATCAAACAATTTTTTTAATTATTAATGTTTTCTAAAGTAATGTTCTTAAAACGAAATTTTCGGACGTGAAAAATGGGTCGTTACAATTACCCTTTGGAACAAGGGAAACTAACAATGTTAACTGAAGTCATCCGTAGATGTACATTTACCTCTGTTGCTAACAGTTGGGTATAAGAATAGTCAGTGCCCAAAAGTATATCTGTAATGGTATCAACCGTTGACATCCGTGGATGTGCTTTTACCTCTGTAGAAAACAGAGATTCTAGGAATGGTCAGTCTCGCAATGTATCCTTGGGTACTAGGATATTGATCCCAATCTATCTCGTCGATTGTGTGATTGAATCACAAGGTAAAGATAAGAATGATGATTATATAACAGAATCTGTACATATAACATGTACTAGTAATTCCTGTAAGGGTACTCATGTACA